CAAAGACAGTTATGCCCTTGAGAAGTGGGCAAAATTAGAATACCGAGAAGGAAGGAGCAGAATTTAGCCCCATCTATGTGGAGTAGCAGTGTGAAATGTGAAGTGAAGCAGGTTGGAGTTAAAGGAGGAGCAATCCCTGTGACTCCTCCCAAGAAAGGTGGATAATTCTCCAAATTTGGAAAGTTGATTAAGAAAACAGAAATAGGGAACAAAGAAAACCTTTATTAGAATTAATGAAAGTTGGGGAATCACTAAATCCTCAGAACCCATTCAGCCCATGCTAGTTTTGTGTTGAAGTGCATATAAACAGATGACTTTGTGGAGCTCAGAAACTTTGAGCTGAGAATCCACATTGAGTGCCTCTGAAATTCATGTCAGCTGTCACCAAATTCTTGATTTCAAGACTTTGAACCCAGTGTCACTATAGGGACTGATGCAGGAAGAGTTAATTTTTGTTGTACCAATAACTATATAAACCAATTGAAGGTTAACCTCATGAATCCCTTGTTTTATTTTTCATTGTGAAGATATTTTTTTCCTTAATATAGCACCTACCATGTCTTGAACCAGCGCTGCGAGACTATGAACTTCGATTTTCCACTGCTTTGAGATCAAGAACACTATGAGCAGAGTTGGTGCAGATTGAAGTGGCCAGTGACCAACAATCAGCTTGGACTAGTGTCAGCATTGACCAACACAGAGTTAACCCTGTATTTAAAATGTCGTTGTAAAGAACCTGAAGACTGGACTACTAAAATGTGGTTACATCACTGGGTGTAGATGGTGATGAAAGGTGTTGTATACTTATTGGGATTCATTTCATGACTTTCTTTGAAATGCCTCTTGGATTGATATTCTTAACCTTCCTATTGAGAACTGTGCCATAGAGGTTTCTTCTTGGATTAAAGCTGTCATTGATGCATTTGTAGCTCCTTAGAAAATACCAGGTAAAACCACAATCTTCTCCTTGGTTTAAACTGGCCTGTTCAGTTGCTATAGCTAGCAGCTGAACAGGAATCATTTTCCTGGCTGTACCAGTGTGATAATTCTGAACACAACTGACACCTCTTCATATCTGATTATAAATGTATTCTAGAGGAGACTAAGTCTTTGTTTGCTGATATAATGAAGCATTGTATAGTCTCTAATAAGTTTGGATCTCATGATAACAGGCAACTCTGTAATGATATGTTAAATAAGAGTAAATCTTTTATCCCTCCACTCTTCACTCAATTTTAGGTGTTAACACCTTCTGCTGATAAAGCAGCTGGCTTTGCTCAGAAACACTCTTCAAATTCTACACCCAACTCATCTGGAGTATCTATGCTTGACTTTCCACTTAGAACTGGGTCTCTGTCTATCATTTCTGTAATCTTTTCTAAACTGGATCCCCACAAAGAATGTGAACTTGATGGTATCCCTACAATTGTTCTTAAGAAATGTTCTCCTGAGTTGGTTCCTGTTCTTTCTAAACTTTACAATAAATGCCTTACTTTCTTGTTTGTTAGAAATCTGCTTCTGTAGTTCCAGAACTCAAGTGAACTGTCTGATCCTTCTATCAACGTCTTAGCCTTCTATCACTTTTTGGCAAAGTACTAGAGGCTCTAATCAAATCTAAATTGGTTAAACATCTCACCTCACAGGGTCTTCTTTTAGATAAGCCATACGGCTTTCACTTCTCTAGGTCAGCTTCTGATATATTAGCAATTATTGCTGAAAGAGTCTATCAAGATTTAGATAACAATGGGCTGTTGCTTTGGATATCTCAAAGGCATTTGAAAGAGGTTGGCATGCTGGTTTTCTTTACAAGTTAAAAGGTTATGGTATCTCTTGACAAATTTTTGAACTGATTCAATTTTTTTTATCAAATCGTGAAATGAAAGTTGTCTTGAACAGCCACTCTTCTAGATCTTTTTGCATTAATGCAGGTTTCCACCAAAGCTATATTCTTGGACCAATGTTGTTCCTATTTTTCATCAACAATCTTCCTAATGTCATCAGTTCTCAACTCTGTTGTATCTATGCTGATGATACAGCTATTTACTCCTGTTTTAATAGTAAGTCTGATCAGTTGGACGAGATCAAAGTCAATTTGATCATCACAATTCTTGTCCTGATCTAAGAAAAGAACCAACAATCTCTTGTTAACTGGGGCAAGGAATGGCTTTTTAATTTTAATGGCTCCAAAATGAAAGTGCTCTCTTAATTATCTGAGAGAACCTTTTTGCTAACCACCAGGAGCCTGACTTATTGTGCCTTCTTGGGGTAATGTTTTCTGCTGACATAAAGTGGAAAGATTATATTAAATTAATTGCTAGGACTGCTGCTAGGAAAGTTGGTTCACTATTGTGTTAGACAATTTTCTTTACCAGAATCTATCTTACACACTTATAAGTTTACAATTTGTCTATGCACTGACTATTGCTGCCACATCCAGTCAGGTGCACCTGCTATGCATTCAGAGATAATTGATAGAATACAAAGAAGAATTTGCAATGTTTTTGGTTTTGACCTGGCATCTTCACTTCAGTCACTTTCCCATTGTTGTAAAGCTTCCCTGTGACTTTTCTATAAATACTTTCATGGTAATTGTCCTGGTAAAGCTTTCTCTATGGTACCTAATCTTTATGAATTTAATCACAGTACTAGATTGGTGGTAATGTTTCATCATTTCACAGTTGAAATGGCTAGATGTAACTGTAAGTTCTGTGTTAGCAGTTTCTTCTCTTACACTTCTTGCTTGTGGAACACTCTTCTGGCTTCTCATTAAACTTTGATTTTCAAAAGTTTAAATGTAATGTCAATCACTGTTTTCTTAATTCCTATTCTTTTACTCTTCTTAATAGTGTTTTTTTTTATCATATTCTCTCACACTCTTGTGTGAGAGAATATTCTCTCACACTCTATGTGTCTTAGTGACTTTCTTGCTATGCTTGGGGTGAAATGAGTAAAAAAATATTCTTTTGTTGTTAAGAAATTAAATTTAACTATTGGAAAAAAAATTGTTAAAATTCCTTTGTTGTTAAGGAAGAAGCTTTATGTTATATCTTTCAAATAAAAACAAAATTTCAGTTCAAAGAAAGCATTTTTAATTATTTAAATACGTTTTTTTTTTAGGAAGTCTATGATGGTACCTAATTTTCATTTTTTTTTTTACAAATTAATAAACATTCGTATCATTCACATTTTTTATGCTTTATAGCAGTTTTGCAATTTCTAAGTGTTCATCTGTTTTTACATGTAAATTGAGCTTGTTGCTACTAATTTGAGAAAAGCAGCCTTTAATTCTGTGGGGTTGTCAGTAAGAATTTACACACTAAAAGTAGTTCACATTTTCACAGGAGGTTCCAAATGATTTTCAGAGGAGAGTAGCCTCCTCCTTCCTAGATTCCCCTTGGTGACAGACCTGAAATGAATACTAATAATTATGAAACATTTCAGCTTTCTCTTCTTCTTAATGCGAAACAAAGGAGAAATAAACTGTAAACATTGTTATATTCTTAAAACCAAATCTTCTTCTGATTCATGCTACATTAATTTCCATCACTGGCTGGATATGAACACTCCAAACACCCAAAATTGAACTAAAATTCAATCAACTGCGCAAGACTCCACACATACCTTCCATTTTTACTCACACACTCAAAGAATAAATAAGCAATACAATCTAGAATTTCCACCCAATAGCATTCACTCTCGCTTAAAAAAAAAACAAAATAAAAACTGGAGCTGATTTGAGCCTAAGAAAGGACATAAAAGCCCATCAAAGGGACATCTTCAGCAGTTGGATGGCATCTAGACCTGAGTTCACAGACTTTGTCGGAAAGCAACCTCCCATTCCCAAGAGACATCAGACATGGCCAGTTTGCCAAAGGCTGTAACCACAGTAAGTCACAACTCATCTTCCCTCTCATTCCATACACCTTACAGGATGCCTTTAAAACTCTACTTATCTCTTTTTTCAATGAGAGATATCTACATTCATTTATCACTTGTTGTATTTTTATGTTAATACAATTGTGTATTTCTTTAAATTTTTGTTGTTTTTTCTTTGTTCTATCACCATACACTTATAACATCTTTCTTATACTTTCCACCTTTCAACAAGTTGTCTATAACATTGTTTCCATGATAATACTACCTTTACACACACATTTAATACAAATTGCTACTATTCCAAAGTTACAACTAATTGTTAGAGCTTTAGTAATAAAAAAATGTCAACACTAGAATCAGTAAAAAAAAAAAAAAAAAAAAAAGCAACATTTGAGTGAGTACCAGTTCCCTACAATTGCTATATTTACAACTTATCAAATCTGGAGTCAAGAGTAAAGACATAAATTAAAATAATTTCCTATCTATAAGCTTTAACAACAAATACATTTTGTAATATTGAAATTAAAGAAATGCATTTCTGAAATAAATAAATTAATTAATCTTTTCTTTTCTGATTTGTTCAATTTGCAAGCAATTCCTTTGTTGTGGGGCCAATGAGTGTGTTGATCCCATAAGCTAATTTGTGTTTGAAGAAAGGTGTGAACAGCCGAGGCAATGAGGAGACAAGAAGCAAGGGTTTATATTTTACCAAACATCAGTTTTTATCTTGCTAAAGCAATGTGTGTTTTTGTAAAATGAAAAAGATTTGCTGGATTAAATGTCAGGTTCAAGTAGACTGGTCTGGTAATCTTTAGTGAAGCAGTTGGTAGGTAAGTTGATTGTTGGTTGGTTGGTTGGTTGGTTGGTTGGTTGGTTGGTTGGTTGGTTGGTCAGGCTTCGAGGCACAGGTAATTGGAGTGTGGTCGGACTGGATGTGTCGATGATGGGAAGTTGAGGAGCGGTTGTTCTTGGTCGTGTTGACAGTTGGGCTGGACGTGTCGATGACTGGATGTTGATGTGCAGTTGTTCCGCTTGTGTCAACAGTTTGACTAGATGTGTCAACAACAGGACGTTGAAGTGCGGCTATTCTGGTTGTGGCAACGATTGGACTAGATGTGTTGACGATGGGAAGTTGGTGTACGGTCAGACTGGTCGTGTCAGCGGTCAGGCCAGACGTGTCAACAATGGGACATTGGTCAATAAGCTGGGCAGGAACGTAATAGCAAAATAGTTGCCTCCTGGCTGTCTACTTCAATGATTTGGATGACTCGTTGGAGATAATCCATCACAAAGGTTGGAAACCTCCTGGCCATCTACTTCAACAATTCGGGTGAATTGTCGGAGATATTCCATCTGTGGAATGGAAAGCTCCTCTGTAAACAGGGCTAAGTCACTTAGATGATACAACTTCCAGGGTGGATCAACTGCAGAAAGGCAGAGGTGAGAGTGGTCAGCATTTTCTGAAGTTCTGCTTGAAGATTGTCAATGATTCTGGCTTGTTGTTCACTTGTAGATATTGGGTGTGTTTTCAGTTTGAGAATGGTTGCTCATTGATGTTTGATAATTTTGTAGCAAGTAAATGTGGTGTAGTCCATCTTCTTTCTCTGGCTGTAAGCTTCTGACACCAATTGTTATATTAAGCGTATGGTGACAGAACAAAGAAGAAATGGCAGCGGTTTAAGAAATAAACAATTGTATTAACATAAAAATACAGCAAATGGTAAATTGTTGTAAATGTCTCTTGTTAAAAAAAAGATAAGTAGAATTTTAAAAGTCGTCTGCAGAGACATATGGTAGGAGAGTGAGGGTGGGTTGTGACTTACTGCGGTGACGGTTTTGGCAAGTGGTCTTTGGAGATGGGAGGTTGCATTCTGATGAGCTTTGTGAATCCTGGTTGTTGTGCTTTTTGACTGTTGAAGATGTCACTTGATAAACTTTTATGTCCTTTTCTTGGGCTCAGAGTAGCTCCAATTTTTATTTTGTTTCTTTAGGTGGGAGTGGGTGTTATTGAGTGGAAATTCTGGATTGTATATTTCTTTGAGTGTGTAAGTAAAACTGAAGCTATGTACAGGGCTGATGCACAGTTGGTGGAATTTTTAGTTCAGATTTAGGTTTTGGAGTGTTCAAATCTGGCCAGAGGTAGAAATTTGTGCAACATGAATCAGAAGAAGATCTGGTTTTAGGAAGATTATAATAAATCTACGTCAAGTGAAAAATAAGCTACAGAACACAATGGTCACAATGGAAACTACATAAATAGCAGCTTCTTGAAATCAATATGCTTCTTGGTGTTTTCCAATAAACTTTGAGTAATGCTATTTAAAATTAAAATGTTATGGAATTTTTCTTTGATGTACACTTCTACGAACAGTTCAAATAAGTGAAAAAAGTGTTTTGCTTTGTTTACATCTACAAAAAATCAACTTTACACACGAATGATATCAACTTTGTTAATCGCAGTTCCTAGTTTTAAAAAGGTTAGCACTAGCTAGCAGATATTAGGAATTTAGTCACTATCATTAATTAATAACCATTAATTAATTACCAATACTGCTACATAGCCCACACATACACATTTTAAATCTTGAACTTTTTGTCGAAATACTTGCTAGGCGCTCTGTCATTTATTGATGCCGATAATTCTTTTTAACATAATTCTATAATTCAGCAATTATGTTTCTCTGACATTTTTCAAGTGCAAATTTAACATATTTTGCGATACATCTTTATTTTTTAATTAAAATATGGTCTGGTGCCCCTACTGTACGTCTTGAAATCCTCAACAAAATCCAGAGATGAATATGCAATGTGATAGGTCCTGATCTGGCATCTTGTCTACAGTCACTTTCTCACAGATGTGCTGTGGCTTCCCCTTTGTCTTTCTACAAGTATTTTCATGGCAACTGTTCCAGCAAACTACTTTCGCTGATTCCCAGACTGCATAAATTTAAGCAAGCTATTAGGCTGGCATCTCGGTCTCACCCTTTCACTGTCGAAATGGTTACTTAAATATAACTGTCTCTTCTTCTCAAACAGCTTCTTCTTTCACACTTCCCATCTGTGGAACTCCCTTCATCTTGCTTGCTTCTCTGATAACTATAATCTTCCAATATTCAAGTGTAATGTCAATCGACATCTTGTGATACCTTGATGTTGTTCCCCGTCCTTCTCTGTATTCTTTTCTCAAACATGCCTCTTTACTCTTGTTCTCAATCCTCTGTAGCACCTTGTGTGCCATGGCACTCTTGCCTTGCTTGGGTGATTTGCTTAAAAAACAAAAATAAAAAAAATAAATTCTTTCCTGTTAACTTTACAAAATTTTTCAAAAACATTTTTAAGATTGCAAACTTGGTTTTGAAGACGTGTATAGACTAGCTATTTTATTTATTTTTGCTGTTGACTGTTGAGTGATATGATTTCATGAGTGAGTTTTTTTTAATATTTTGGTGTTACCTGTAATAACATGACGACTTAGAAAAAAGTACAAATGAATCATGTAACATGATTTGCTAAACTGAAATCTCTCTCTCTCTCTCTCTCTCTCATTCACTCGTTTTTTTTGTTTTTTTTTCGTAGTCGCAGAGAATTTCTATGAGGGATTAAAAAAAAATTCTCTGTTACGTGATATACTCAGAATTCCTCGAAGTTGTCGGCGCTGGCAACCAGCAACCGAGGTAAATAATTTGACCAATCACTAACCAATCTGCTGCACAGGTCGACTAATAGCTTGTGGCCTGCTGCACTGATTAACCAATCAGCTTCATTGTTGTTGTCGGCAACCGTAGTTTGACTTCTCTGTGTACAAGATGGTGGACTGGTACTCTCTTCTGTTGTGTTATTATTGTTTTGTACCGAACCGTGCGTGTCGTGTCTTTGAGGAAAGTCGTTATACAATGTGAAACCTTGCAAATCTGTAAGTCCATTCAGCAATCTCTAAGTGTTGTTAAATGATTTTATTTCGTTGTAATTCTTTTCCTTTACCAGTCACTTTCTCACTGATCACTATTTTGAATGTAGACGACGCTCTTGGATTTTGTGTTCACAAAATGGGGGTTCAATGCATTTTGTTTATTTATTTTTTAATCTTAAAAATAGAAAACACACTCGAAAGGTTTTTGACAGCGACAGCTTTATTTCCCACGACCTATCGTTATTGTTTTTTGGGAAGTTTTAATAGATGTCTTCGCTCGTCGATTATTGTTTGTTTATATTGACTAACAATAGACAATAATCACAATAGTGACAAATTGAAAAAATGTAGCGAAAAATGTAAGCAATAAAAAAAAAGCTGAATTAAAATTATAAAAGAAAAAACACTCATTAACGCATTAAGTTTTACATTTTTCTTAAATTAAGTTTTCTTTCATTGATTTATTTTTAGCTGTTTATTTATAATTTATTTAAGCAATATGATACGAAATATTGATAACTTTCTGTTGATGTTTTTTTTCTTTCGTAAAAGCAAAACAAAATAAACGGAAAAATTGTCTTATGAAAATAGTCTTGTTTCTATTTCAACTGAAATTTCATATTTAATTTCTCACATTATTGAACTAACGACAACAACGAAGATGCGTTTGTTATCTTAACGTATTTATTTTCATTTTTTATTTGACGAATTGGTAGTGCTTTTTTGTGTTTAGTTTCATACACTCATTGGGCCATTATTTAAGAAAATAAGCTTTTTCTTAAAACTAATTTTGTCATGGTGAAAAGGAAAATCGCTTTTATTTTGATTTGATTGCCTAGGCTAAATTAGTTAAAAAAAAACACAACTATGGACGAGCGCGTCATCTTACAATTTTATTTCTCGAATTTTTCATAGGTTTATCATGTATTTTTAAACTAAAAAGTGAATAATAATTATTTAATTATTATTATTATTTATGGTAATTCTCAATTTATTTGCTGTCAGTTTCGGCTATCACCTTCGACAACTTTCTTTTATACAAAAAAAACTTTTTTTTTCATGTTAAAAATAAAACTAAAAGCAATTATTAACTTAAAAAAAACTGTCATCTGTGCTCACTTTAATTTTGGTTGTACTGAATCTAAAAGTAAAACCTTTAAAAAAAGCCAATAACGATAGTGGATAGATAATTAATTTATTTTAATTAGTAATCGTTTACTTAACTAGTCATTGACTTTAAGAAAAAAAAAGTTTTTCATAGATTGTTTCAGTTCAGTACAACCTAACTTAAAGGGCCGAATTCATTACTTAGTTAAAGATTTAACATTTATAATCAATTTTGGGTAATATTCTAATTGACAAAATAACATTTTTCCCTAATTATTACAGGATCTTAAAAAACGTAACTCCTATATTTTTAAGCATAGATAATAAAAAAGGCTTGATTGACTCTTGTTTGAGCCTACATTGTCCAATGATGGTTTACGTACAGTTCGAATCGAAGGTATGTTATTGGGAAATTTCTATGAAAACTATTAATTATTTTATTCTTTCCAAACTACTGTGACAATGAATTTAATGCTGATCTATGATAATTTAAATTATAATTAAATATGCGTAAATTTGCAAATATATGGTTGCATATGTATTTAAAAAAAAATTGAATAATTTTTAAAAAATTTTTTCATACTGTTTTTTATTTGTATATTTTTGCTCTAAGGTGTTTAGTTTTTAAATAATTTTTCTTTTAGTTTTTTAATCACAAATAGGAAATACTAAGAAAGTTGCTACTTTCCGAATGATTTGTTGAGTAATTTGACAGATATGTAAATTTTCATCCTAAAATAAAAAACAAAAAAAACTTACTTTTTGAGTGGAAGATAAAATTGTAAAAATCTGTTTTTGGGATGCATTTATTTTCAGAATGATTTTTAAGCAGTGTTTTTATGTTTTCTATTTACCGAAAAATAAAAATTGACTATTTCTTTGTATTTTTGTACTTGACCTTCATTTACTTGCCCATTCTCACCCAACAGTCTTTACCCGGAGTCAGTGTAGTGTACTGTGTTGTAAATTGTTTATTAATTAGAACATTTTTTTATTTTTAAGCCAGCTTATCTGATGTTAATTTCTTTCAGTATAATTCTTTTGTTTCTTTAACTTAACATTATTAATCAAATATTTTCATCTTAAAATAATGTAAAGAAAAGCTAAAAAAATTTTTTTTTTTCAAATTTTAATTAATATCACTGCATGTTTTTTATGCTAAAAAGCCAAATAAAATTGATGCTGTTGTCAATGCACATTTGTTTGAAGCTTACATAGATTGTTGACGTTTTCCCATAAAACTGCTTCTTTTCAATAACAACGTAAAACATGGAACACCTCTAGACTGTTAGCATTTCATTGAATCATTGGAATTATTTTAGAGCAAGGTTACTAGGCTTTTTTAGAATAACTTTTCTCAGTTTTTTTTTCCTTTTTAAGTTTTTGGTATGTGATTCAGTAAATTTTTTATAAAACTAATTCAGTGTGTAAAAATGTAATTGAAAAGAATTGAAACAATACAATATGCGTGCTAAAAATCCTAAGTAAAATAATTCAATTGATCAGATAACTAAATTGTTTTTTTGGGTTCTTTTTTTAGTTAGACATATAGTTAGACATGTGTAGTGTATATATATATATATATATATATAATATATTTTTTTTTTTTTTTTTTTTTTAATAAATGATTTAGTAGTGTATGTTTCTGTATGAGTTCCAATCCACGTGTCTCTGTCAGGAAAAAACAAAACATAAGAGATGATAAAAAAAATGGAAAATTTCTGAAACATTATTCACTGAGATATGTAGAAGCCCTATCATTGTGTTTTTAATTTCAAACCCATCTCTACAACAAAAATTATATTTTGAACTCAATCCAATGGTACATGCTACACAATGAGTTATGACATAGAATTTTTGTAAGACTTATTATTCTTTCTACCTACCGATGCCACTATTACTGTTAGTGTTACTGTTACACTATTCTTTGATGGTTACATTCCCAAAGAAGTTGTCTAATTATGTAATTGATTTTGTCATTTTTGTTTTGGTAACTATTGCAATAATGTTTATATATAAACAAGTTCTGACATTTTCATTTATCTTCTAGAAGAAGCTTAATTACTGTACCTGTCATTTCTTGATTTTTGTTCATTAGTGACTTGTAGGTCAACTAACATTTCATTCTAGTAATGATCTATAAATTTTCTACCTAATCCATTTTTATTTTCTATTTCTTTTTAACTATACAACTCTAACTACTATAACCAAAGATTTGTTACATATTTTTATCTTAGCCGTCTTGGTTGAATGATTTAAAGTATTTTTTTCAGGTGGATTTTTTTTTTCTAATTAGTGATTGCTCTTTCAAATAACACAGTCCTTAACAAAATGACATCTTGATTGTTATGCATATTGGGCTTGAAATTCTAAAAATATATCCTTAAAATTATTAACAAAGGTGGTAAGTTAGTTTAACAAATTCTGTTTTTTGGAATATGGAAATTAACACATATTAAAAAACTGGTCAATTATATTTTTAGTTATATTTACTTAACATATAAATAATGTATATTTTTGTAAATATTTCTTCTTTTATTGATGTTAAAATTATAACACTCTAGTCTAATTTTATTGTAAATTAGAAAAGCCAAAAGTAAATATCAGTATGTAATAATTGTACTATTTTAATATTCTAATCTAGCCATTATGACCAATTCTTGCTGAAATCCAGCATACTCTGTTTAGTCTGTTGCTAAAGACTTAGAGTGAAGTATTCACTGATTCATTTCACTTAATTCAATGTAATAATTTCATATTTGGCCTGATGATCCATATATTAAAGAAATAAAATCAACAGAAGTAATTCATATCATGACATAGTTTGGTTTTTATCTCTAATTTTAATCACACACAAAAATAAAGCTATTAAATTAATTAATCATATCTCTGCTCCATTATTAGCCAATAATCTTTCACTGCTGCTTCAGTCCTGTCCATCTGACAAGTTTTAAAGTGTTTTTCCTGCTTGTTTGTAACTATGTGCTATGTTTCTACTCTTTTAATTCTATTATGCTTAGAAATTGTCAGACATTTTCCTCTCTCTTTCCTGAAAGGCAATTCTGGTGTTTTCAATGATAAAGTTAAGGCTATATGGAGAAGTTACTTTCAGTTCCTTTTTCTAAAAATAATCTTTTTTCCTTCAGTTATGCATATCCCTTGAAATGCTACCTCCTTTTTTAGTCTGATAACTATAAGAAAAGTATTTTTCTCTCTTTTTTTTTTTTTTTTTTTTTTTTTTTTTAGTAGGATTTTTCTTATCCTCTTCAGTTTTCATGGTTTTTAATTCATTGTCCCTGTTAAACACATACATAACTTGATTTAAAATGAAAAGCTTGGAAAGTGGATTATGAATTACATTATGAACAGTTTAGTTTTTCTTGTATATTTAGAAAATTATATTATTTCTAGGTATAGTTTTTATTTTCAAGTTTGAACTGTGAGTTTCTGTAACCAGGAATAAATATTACTAAAAGATATATAGAAATACTTATTTAAGAGTTCACTGATTTAAAAAGAAAAGACTAAGTATTGACAATATTGTCATCATTAATAGATGATTGCAATTTATGAGGGTGTGCTGAAAAATTGGTCTAACCCAGAATCCCTTCTCCCACAAAAATTTGATGTTTGGTCAAATTTTGGAAAGTGGCTTGGACTGAGAAGTTCCTCAGTTTTTCACATTTTTGTATTCAGTTCATTTTCTATGATTTGTAACATTTTATGATGGCATTTTTTTTTTTTTTTTTTTTTTTCATAAAATTTTAATGAAACTTATTTTTGATTTACCATTTCATTTTTGACCGCAACTCATATCCATATCATTTATTCAAATGAAAATGTAGGTAGTATAATAATAAATTTCTGAATAAATAAAGAGACTAAATTCAGATATT